CTCACCCCCTCTCCCTCCCTCTCACCCCTATCCCGCCCCTCTCACCCCCCTCCCTCCCTCTCACCCCTCCTCCCTCCCCTCTCCCTCCCTCTCACCCCTCTCCCTCCCTCTCACCCCCCCTCTCCCTCCCTCTCACCCCTCTCCCTCCTCTCCACCCCTTCTCCCTCCTCTCACCCCTCTCCTCCCTCTCCACCCCTCTCCTTCCCTCTCATCCCTCATCCCTCCCTCACCCCATCTCCCCTCCCTCCCCTCGCTTCGCTCGCCCTCTCACCCCCTCTTCCCTCCCCTCACCACCCCTCTCCCTCCTCTCACCCTATCCCCTCCCTCTCACCCCTCTCCCTCCCTCTCACCCCTCTCCCTCCCTCTCACCCCTCTCCTCTCCCTCTCACCCCTCTCCCTCCCTCCCTCACCTCTCTCCCCCCTCTCACTCTCCCTCCCTCTCACCCCCCTTCTCCCTCCCTCTCACCCCCTCCCTCCCTCTCCCTCCCTCTCACCCCTCTCCTCCCTCTCTCCCTCCCTCTCCCTCCCTCTCCCTCCCTCTCACCCCCTTCTCCCTCCCTCTCCCTCCCTCTCACCCCTCTCACTCCCTCTCACCCCCTCTCCCTCCCTCTCCCTCCCTCTCACCTCCCTCTCACCCCTCTCCCCCGCCCGCAGGTGATCAACCAGCTGCGGTCGCTCTACCTGCACGTGGACGACATCGACCTTTTCATCGGCGGCATCGCGGAGAGGCCCAGCGCCGGCTCCCTGCTCGGCCACACCTTCCTCTGCATCGTCGGGGACCAGTTCGCGCGCCTCAGGGTAACGGGCTTATTCTCTTTTTTTTTTTTTTTTTTTTTTTTTTTTTAGGCGGGAGAGATATTTACAGGTAACGGGCTTATCTCTTTTTTTTTTTTTTTTTTTTTTTTTATTACTAACGGGCTTATTTTTTTTTTTTTTTTTTTTTTTTTTTAGGCGGGAGGATATTAGAGAGGTAACGGGCTATTCTCTTTTTTTTTTTTTTTTTTTTTGCTTTTTTTAGGCGGGAGAGATATTTAACAGCGGGTAACGGCTTAGTCTCTCTTTTTTTCTTTTTTTTTTTTTTTAGGCGGAGAGATATTTACAGACGGTAACGCGGGCTTATTCTCTCTTTTTTTTTTTTTTTTTTTTTTTTTTTAGGCGGGAGAGATATTTACAGCAGGTAACGGGCCTTATTCTCTTTTTTTTTTTTTTTTTTTTTTTTTTTTTTTAGGCGGAGAGAGATATTTAGAGCTAACGGGCTTATTCTCTTTTTTTTTTTTTTTTTTTTTTTTTTTTTAGGCGGGAGAGATATTTAGAGGTAACGGGCCTTATTCTCTTTTTTTTTTTTTTTTTTTTTTTTTTTTTTAGGCGGGAGAGATATTTAGAGGGTAACGGGCTTATTCTCTTTTTTTTTTTTTTTTTTTTTTTTTTAGGCGGGAGAGATATTTACAGGGTTTAACGGGCTTATTCTCTCTTTTTTTTTTTTTTTTTTTTTTTTTTAGGCGGGAGAGATATTTAGGAGGGTAACGGGCTTATTCTCTTCTTTTTTTTTTTTTTTTTTTTTTTTTTAGGCGGAGAGATAATTTAGAGGGGTAACGGGCTTATTCTCTTTTTTTTTTTTTTTTTTTTTTTTTTTTAGGCGGGAGAGATATTTACGAGGGTAACGGCTTATTCTCTTTTTTTTTTTTTTTTTTTTTTTTTTTAGGCGGAGAGAGATATTTACAGAGTAACGGGCTTATTCTCTCTTTTTTTTTTTTTTTTTTTTTTTTTAGGCGGGGAGAGATTTTACAGGGTAACGGGCTTTTTTTTTTTTTTTTTTTTTTTTTAGCGGGAGAGATATTACAGGGTTAACGGGCTTATTCCTTTTTTTTTTTTTTTTTTTTTTTTTTTTTTTTTTTTTTTTTAGGGCGGGAGAGATATTTACGGGTAACGGGCTTATTCTCTCTTTTTTTTCTTCTTTTTTTTTTTTTTTTTTTTTAGGCGGGAGAGATATTTACAGGGTAACGGGCTTATTCTCTTTTTTTTTTTTTTTTTTTAGGCGGGAGATATATTTACAGGGTAACGGGCTTTTTTTTTTTTTTTTTTTTTTTTTTTTTTTTTTTTTTAGGCGGGAGAGATATTTACAGGGTAACGGGCTTATTCTCTTTTTTTTCTTTTTCTTTTTTTTAGGCGGGAGATATATTAAGAGGTAGTTTGAGATGTTTGTTTGCTTAATTGCAAACTCTATTAACTGCTTAATTGTCATCATCTAGGCGGTAGATATTAGAGGTAGTTTGAGATATTTGTTTGCTTAATTGCAACCTTCTATTAACTACCTAATTGTCAGCATCGTGTTTACATATAATAATGTCATTAGCTGTAAGGATTTCAGTGGCTCAGATTTCCCGCCAAATTTGTCCGTTTACCTTATTCACATTATAATTGCATTTAAATGAATTTCTCAGTCATATATACAGACAGATCTTTCTCGTGACATACATGCCGTCGGATATTTCAAATCTCCTTATCTTTTAAATCATACAAATCTAAGAAATACACATATTTATGATATGCAAGATGTACAACATATTTCAAACACACATCCGCATTCCCTGAAATATACAAATCTCTAAATTATTAAAAGCAAATTTATGCTATAGGAATGCCACAAAATATTTTAAACACACATCCGTATCCCCTGAAACACAAATTTCCTAAATCATGCAACCAATTTTATGCCATGGAAATGCCACAAAATATTTCAAACACATTCGTATCCCCACGATTATTCAAATCCCTAAATTATACAAAGCAAATTTATGCCATAGGAATACCACAAAATATTTTAAACATATATCCGTATCCCCTCAGTTATAGAAAAACCTAATTTATGCAAACCAACTTTATGCGATAGAAATGCCACAATAATATTTCAAACCCGTATCCCCTAAAATATCCAATTTCCTAAATTATGCAAAGCAAATTTATGCCATAGAAATACCACAAAATATTATTAAACATATATCCGTATCCCCTCAGTTATAGAAATCCCAAGATTATGCAAACCAACTTTATGCCATGGAAATACCACAAAATATTTCAAACACATTCGTATCCCCTCAGTTATAGAAATCCCTAAATTATGCAAAGCAAATTTATGCCATGGAAATACCACAAAATATTTCAAACATCCGTATCCCCTAAAATATCCAATTTCCTAAATTATGCAACCAATTTTATGCCATGGAAATGCCACAGAATATTTCAAACACATTCGTATCCCCACGATTATACAAATCCCTAAATTATGCAAACCAACTTTATGCCATAGAAATACCACAAAATATAATTAAACATATATCCATATTATATATATACATTATATACATACATATATATTATATACATTATATTAAACACATCCGTATCCCCTCAGTTGTAGAAATCCCTAGAATAAGCAAACCAACTTTATGCCATAGAAATACCACAAAATATAATTAAACATATATCCATATTAAAGATATATACATTATATACATATATATATATTATATACATATATATAAACACATCCGTATCCCCTCAGTTGTTAGAAATCCCTAAATTATGCAAACCAACTTAATGCCATAGAAATACCACAAAATATAATTAAACATATATCCATATTATATATATATACATTATATACATATATATATTATATATACATATATATAAACACATCCGTATCCCCTCAGTTGTTAGAAAACCCTAAATTAAGCTCAATTTCTGCCACACACGCCACCCCTTTCACCCACGCGCCCGCCTCCGCAGCTGGGCGACCGCTTCTACTACGAGAACGGCGGCCTCGAGTCCTCCTTCTCCGAGCTGCAGCTTCAGGAGATCAGGAAAACCACTCTGTCGAGGATCATGTGCGACAACTCCAACCTGGACATGATGCAGCCGCTCGCCTTCGTGGACGCCCACCTCGCGTGAGTCGGAGAATCCTTTTTTCGTGTTCACAGGGTGGCTTTTTCTTCTTCTTCTTCTTCTTCTTCTTCTTCTTCTTCTTCTTCTTCTTCTTCTTCTTCTTCTTCTTCTTTGCCCTTCTTTATTTTCCTTTTTTCTCCTTCTTCTTTATTTTCATTTATTTTCTCTTTGTTTTTTTGTTTAGGTTGTTGGAAGTTTGGCCTGATGGATATGGTATTTGCCGGGATGTGTCTTCTTTTCCTTAGAAAGCTTCCTAATATATATGGATATCTGCGTGCGTGTTTGCGTGTGTCTGCCGTCGCTGTGTCCGTGTATGTCTGTCTGTCTCTGTGTCCGTGTATGTCTGTCTGTCTTTTTGTCTTTCTATCTTTGCATATCCCCGACTTACACTCCCCCTCCCCCCCTCTCCCCCCCAGGAACAAGCGTGCCGTGTGCAAGTTCGGGACGCTGATCCCCGAGATGTCTCTGGAGCCATGGCGGAACGAGCCCGTGTGGGTGTAGGGGGCGCGTGGTCCTCGGAGGCGGCGAAGGCTGCAGGTCCTTCTGCAGGTCCTGTCCTTCTGCAGTCCCTGTCCTTCTGCACTGTCTTCTGCAGGTCCTGTCCTTCTGCAGGTCCTGTTCCTTCTGCAGGCCTGTCCTTCTGCAGGTCCTGTCCCTTCTGCAGGTCCTGTCCTTCTGCAGGTCCTTCTGCAGGTCCTGTCCTTCTGCAGGTCCTGTCCTTCTGCAGGTTGGGTGCGGGGTTTGGGAGGGGCCTTTCGGGTTTTGGGGGGAATTTTTATTCATCTATTTATTTGCAGCGGGCTTTCTCGATACGTCAAAGACCAGTTTGCGGCCGTTTGGATTTGTTTTATTTTCGATCTGTCGGTTTACAAAGAGGCGGCTGTGTTTGGTTTTATAATTGGGCCTTTGGATTGTTATTTATCTACTTATCGTGACCTTTTGTAAAATTTATACAGTGTCCTCTCTTTGCAAAACAGAAATTCAGCGAGGATTTTTTTTTTGTGTAGTACTATCTGTTAAAATAATCGAGAAAAGAAATGTGAAGATTTTTCATTAATAGGTAATTTGGTTTTCCTTGAATTTACTCTGTTGTGAAGGGTTATTTCTTTTGTTTTTCTTTTTTAGAGTAACAAGGGAAAACAGGAAGGTATTTACCAATAAACATTATCCCTTTTCTTTGGAAAATATTTTGTGAAGGGTTATTTCTTTCTTTTTTATAGTAACAAGGGAAAACAAGAAGGTATTTACCAATAAACATTATCAATTTTCTTTGGAAAATATTTTGTGAAGGGTTATTTCTTTTTTTTTATAGTAACAAGGGAAAACAGGAAGGTATTTACCAATAAACGTTATCCATTTTCTTCGGAAAATATTTATCTTAGCATACAGTTCATATGGTTTCACACGCTGCACATTTCCGTGCTTACATGAACGCGTTTTGCAAAAGCTATCGTGTGTCTTAGAGATGAGATTAGATTGCGCACATTTTTTTTAGGTACATCGTATATTTATTGTGACTTGAGTCCCAAATAAAATGATTCATTTGATGTTAAAGTAATGGTTTTATTCCAACCTTTATAGATACTGATCACACGCACACAAATAAATGAAAATAAGTAAATAAATAAATAAATGAATAAAATGAAAAATAAAAATAAAACAAACACACACACACACACACACACACACACAACACACACAACACACACACACACACACACATATATATATATATATATATATATATATATATATATATATATATATATATGTGTGTGTGTGTGTGTGTGTGTGTGTGTGTGTGTGTGTGTGTTTATATATTTGTATATATACATGCATATACATGTTCTTCAGAATATGAATAATTATACTTCATAAATTCACACGCATACAATCAGTTTAATGTATGTGCTCTATCAGCGCGTCAAAATTTACATTTTATTCCTTTAAAGTTATCCTTTTATAGATGAATGAATGTATTCATTTCATACAGCCTGGTACATTAATCAGAATTGAAGTATCTACAATATCTTGATGTGATTTTATGAAATTTGTTTGTAATTATTTTTTTCTTTAGTTTGTAACGGTCAAAGTAAAAAAAAATTTTTGTCATATGTGGACATATTTTATCATCATATACTATTTACTATCATTAAATTAGTATGAAAAAACACAAATCAGGTTTATCGTAGATGGTAAATATATAAGACAATCCAGGATCAAATTAAAGTTGTTGTTTTTTTACAAAATCCTCTTTTATTGAATAGTTCCAAGCAATGAACACAGGAAATCAATCTGTATAACCAAGCATAACTTACAAAGAAACTATCCGTGCTTACTATTCCTGACCGTTATTTTGTGCTGTGGTTTTCCTATGATAGAAAAAAATATGTGACACTATTCATAGTTTTTTTTCATTTTCATTCTTCACTTGGTAATATTCCGATGTCTAAGAATATCCTCATACAGATTTAAGCAAAAAGTAAAGTAGTATGAATGTGGTCAGTAACAACAAATAAGTGAAATTATATACATAGGAAGGCAAACACATTTCTTTAGAGACTACATAGACCAACTTGATAACTAAAAAAAAAAACGGATTTGATTTTACATTAGATGAATGACTTTGAATGAGGTATGGTCCATCCGTGATTAATTATCATTCTATTGTGCATCTATATCTTACTTTTATCATTGATATGTGCCTTTAGTTACAAAAGGTAAAAAGAGACATGAGTTTGTTATAAATACAGTGGCCTTTTTTCCTCCCAAGTGAGTACACAAAAATCTAATATCGGGATTAATACATTTTCTTCAGGTCTTAGAGAGTAACACCCTAGTGACATGCTACCCAAGATGACGTACAAAGAGGAGCACATAATTTCAGTCTGTCCATTCTAACTTGGGAAGAAATGGTCTCCACTCCTCACAAGGCTCGACAGAACTGACACAGAACGGGCGATGGCTACCCAAGATGACGTACAAAGAGGAGCACATAATTTCAGTCTGTCCATTCAAACTTGGAAAGAAATGGTCTCCACTCCTCACAGGGCTCAACAGCTGTTCATAAGGCTCAACAGAACTGACACAGAACGGGCGATGGCTACCCAAGATGACATACAAAGAGGAGCACATAATTTCAGTCTGTCCATTCTAACTTGGAAAGAAATGGTCTCCACTCCTCACAAGGCTCAACAGCTGTTCATAAGGCTCGACAGAACTGACACAGAACGGGCGATGGCTGCACAAGACGTGGCAGTGATGAACTCTGGTCCAATATTTCTCCAAACATTATACAAGATTATGTACATCCAAAGTTCCCTTTCTCCAATACAGACCGTGTGTTGTATTCGTTTGTCAACGTTGGGTATCTGAATATTTGCGAAGATGGCTTCTGAAATGTCTTTCTTAAATTGAGGTAAAGGGGAGGGGAGCGAGAGAGAGAGAGAGAGAGAGAGAGAGAGAGAGAGAGAGAGAGAGAGAGAGAGAGAGAGGAGAGAGAGAAGAGAGAGAGAGAGAGAGAGAGAAGAGAGAGAGAGAGAAGAGAGAGAGAGA